AACAATGAGACTTTTTAAAGCCTAAGGTCAAACCAAAACAGTATAAATAATTCCAAATAAATGAAACCAAAGCTATAATAATTCTTTCAACATTTATCTAATATAATTTTGTTTTCTATGCTAACTGAAAATTAAAGTTCTGGTTATTTCTCCAAAGTGTTTTTTTTTTTAAAAAAAGTCTACTAAAATGTTTTTTAAATGAATAGTTACATTTAAAATCCTTTTATTTCTTAATTAAAAAACAAACTGCCTTATAAATAGGATGACTTTACACTTTCACTGTTTAAATTCTGACATTTTTCTCAAAGTCACTCTACACTGTAGTTCCAAAACTCAATGTGTTTGAGTTCAACATAAAAATACCCTAACACAATAAATCTGGTCTATTCACAAGAGCTATATTTTGCTAACACCTAAATGTTGGGTTTCTTTCTTTCTTCTTTTTTTTTTTTTTTTTGGTGAGGACGAGTGGTCCTGAGCCAACATCTGCTGCCAATCTTCCTCTTTTTGCTTGAGGAAGATGGTCCCTAAGCCGACATCTGTGTCAGTCTTCCTCTACTTTGTATGTGGGACACCGCCACAGGGTGGCCTGATGAGCGACCCCTAAATGTCTCCAACACTGCTGGGCGGGAGTGTACCTCCCCTTTGCCTCAGACGATTACCAAACATCTCTCAGGCACACAAGGCGCCCGGCGCCTGCGAAGACCAAGGTGGGCTTCCTACCTCATGAAGGGTGAGGTGTTTCCCGTCCTTCCTCTTCGAGTCAAACCTGCCGTAGATGGCACTGTATTTTCGAATCTCCTCCTCTTTGTGCGGATCATCATCGCTCATCTCAAAGATGTGACCGATCATTTTGGCCAACTTCTTGTTGGTTTTCAGCAGCTCCTTCACTTCGCTCAAGTCACTCTTGGGGAGCGTGGGGGCCATGCGCTCCACGCACTCGGCCACCGAGAGCGCGGCGGCCGCGTCCAGCGCCTCGCTGCTTTCCTTCGGGGACGCGGGGGAGCCCAGGTCGGCCGGCGAGAGGCTGTGCTCGCTCTCGGTGGCGTGGTGGCTCTGCCAGAGTCTGGACTCGCCCACGGCCTGCAGCGCCAGGCTCCCCGCGTCTGACTTGCCCTGGGCCAAGCTCTGCACGCAGGGGGCGGCGCATTTGGGGAGTTTTAAGTGCGGGTCCCGGGCATTGCTATTCCTTTCATAACTGCTGCAGGTTATTCCCAGCCACGTCGGGGATCCCTCAGGTAACTTATAGATGGGAATGCTACTAACAGGCAGGGAAGTCAGCGGCTGATTGAAAAGGCCAGGGTTTGTGACCCAGTCTCTCAAAGCCTTCTGGAGCCTTCTAACATGAAGGGGCTTGCTAGCCATGCCTACGAGTGCCATGATTTCCAAGAACTCCTCTTCTCCAGCTTCACAGAGCTGCTGGACATCATCGCCGCCTTGCTGGATAAAGGCATCAAAATAAGAAAGCAGATTGGCTTTTTGTAATATTCTGTACAGCTGCAACTCCCCCAGGGTCCTGGGTAAGGCTGCGGCCATTACTGTGGATGGGCTTAACCTGCAAAGAGAAGACAGGAAACACTCATCTACTGGCTCCAACCCTCTTAAACCTGTTTGTGAGACAGGACAGGGTTTAAGAACACAGTGTGGGAAGAACAAAAACACGGAGCATTTGCAGAGCAAAAGAGTGTCAAGGAAGCACTCTCTCTACACGTGTTATCTCATTTTACACTCCCAGTAACCCTAATGGTCAGCATAACTGGTTCCATTTTAAAGAGAAAAATATAAAGGCTCAAAGAAGATCTGCCTGAGATCTCACAACTAGTTACGCAGGAGTCTGGGGACTCAGCAAGGTTCACAAGACTCTTGGTCCCATATTTTTGACTATTCCCTTTACTGCCTCCACAGTTTGCACACACAGGTGACATGAAGGACAGTCAAATTCAGGAGGAGGTACGGCATGTACGATGCCACCATTCGCGGAACACTTATTTTGTGTAAGACAGTATGATAAACACTTTAAGTCTAATCCTCACAAAGGCCCTGCGACATAGGTACACTTATTCCCATTTTATACAGAAAAGTTGCCAAGATTAGTCTGGCAGGCAGAGGAAGATAGATTTCAGTATGAATTGGAGGTGAGAAGACAGAAGGTGGTATATTTAGGAACCAAGAAAAAAAGAGGCAGGAAAAATTCAAGCAAATAAATGACAAGACTTGGTCATCACTTAGGTCTAAGAGATGAGGAGAGGAAAGAGTTACCGTTTATTGACACTTTCTGTGGGTCCAGGAAGAGAAGACTTAGCGATGACTATGGGATTACACATTTGAGAGTCTAGAACTGTGATAGGCATCGGGGATACAGAAAAATCAGGAGGATGGGGCTCCCTGTCAAACACACAGTGCTTGAACACACTGCAAGGCAGAACGCTTAAGTTGAACTGCCCTGCGTTCCAAATAGACTGGAGCCAAAGTGTGTAAGGGCTGGAGCTACAGGGTGAAACCAGAGAGGGTGGGGGAGCCCTCCAAAGCAGCAGCCGAGGGCCAAAGACAGAGCAAGGAAGAAAGAGACTTTTAGGAGCCAAGCAAGACAGAGAGGCCTGCCTTTAAAAAGACAGAACAAGATCCAGCAAAGTCCTTCTTGACCTCTTAGCAGCCTTCAGAAGTTATTACACAGTTGCCTGGAGACCTCCCACATATAAAGAGGAGCTGGCCAAGGACTTCTATTTAAGAGAAACAAACAAACTTGTTGTAATCAATGCACTCTTAAGACTGAAAGGACCCTGCAGCCCTCTACCGAGAAAATTACAGAAGGCCAAAAAAATACATACATCAGAGGAAAATGGAAGCTTCACTCTCAACTCAAACTAGCAGGGAGCAATTATTAACCGGGAGATGATGCAAGCAGAGGAATCTTAGGAACCTCCTGAAGACCAGGTCACCAAATCCGGGACTTTTGCTTTTTGCCATCAACCAGAAGGCTGCACAGAATTCTAGTCTCATTCATCCCACCCAAGGAGAATGCATCTCCCCACCACCCTAAGGACTGACTCCAGGGAAGCCCCAGCTCCTGGAACCTCTGGATTATCCACAATCCGCTTTGATCAACTAGTGACCTCCTCAAATTTTATGGCTCTTTATCTTACAAGGGTAATGTCAGGTGACTTCCAAGAGACACACAAAAGATTGAACTGGGGTCCCAGTAACTTCTTCTGAGGTGCTTCTGGAAAACAGTTTCCCAGGTCCCAGAGCTGCATCCCAGGAGACTCCCATGAGTTGGCAAATCTGGCAAACGACACTAGACACTATTTAGCACACCCTCTGGGCACCACGAACTCCTACATGTTCTGGGGTCATCTCGGTTCTTGACTCGTCCACTTTCATCTTCATGCCACCTCCGTTCTGGATAAAAACATCCTGCATCTTCAACATCACCCCAGGAGGGTTCTTCCACCCCAGGAGGGACTCTCCAGGGAGGCCATCATCCCGCAAAACACAGCTCTCAGGAGTTACAGACACAAGGTAACGTCTGTATTGAATTACATTATACCAAATAAAAGGGCTTCTAGAAAGTGTCTGAGGTGGAAGAAATGAAACTTACTTTCCCGTCATACACCTAATTCAATAACTCCACAGGCTTTCAACTCAAGAGTACACCAAAAAATACGTATATACACATATAAATATACATGTACACACAGACACCATCTCTTTTATAGGACTGTAACCTTGCAAGGAGAATGGTGTCATCAATTATTTCACCGCATGTACTCCCCAAATTATGGAATAGAGGGAAGATGACAAGAGAAAATCTAGATGAATAGTGTCTGAATCTTTTTATGAGCAATAAGAAAAAAAGACTGTTACACAAATATGAAAGAGAAACTTAAGAAAATGAGAACTAAAGACAACCTTACGTTTTATTCTTCTGAGATAAGGCAATGATTTTAAAAAATATTAATTTTCAACTTTTATTCTTTCTCACCTTTACCCAGAAAGAAAGGAAACCCCCTCGTTCCTACGAGAAAGCCCTTATGAACTGGTAAGAAAGAAGTAGTTATGAATATAGTATCTCTGTCAGGACTGACAGGACCAAGTGTATGTTTCCAAAGGCGAGACACCGGATGAAAGATAAAGAGGTGAACTATCCAGAGGCCACCCGGGCTTTCTGAAGGCCCACACTCCCTGGGGGGAAAGGAGCTTTGTCCCTAAGCTTTCGCTTTAGGAGAATGTTTCATTTTCCCACAAAAGCCTATTGCGATAATTTAAACACCCACCACTTCATACGTTAACTTGATCTAAAAGAAAATTTTTCTAAGATGAGATTTTCTGTTTTTACAAACTCTGTTTCTATTCATGCTTCAAGGTGAAGGTCAACTAAGTCACGAGCAAGCTTCTCTCTGCATCTCTCCGATCTGAAGTCAATATAAAAAGGATCCTGGCCCAACGCTACATCCAGGTAGCTGAGAGTACAGTAAATCTCCTCAGCTGAAAACCACTGTTACCTGGCCTTTTCAAGAAATGCGGGAACCACCGCGCTGCGTCTGACCTTTTTATGAATTCCACCGTTAAGAGAAACCAGTCACTCATTCTCAGGTGCTCAGCTAAACCAAAGGCCTGCAGCCTGCGGGCCGCAAACCTCCACTTGCACCAGCTTGAATGCTCCTCAGCCTCGTTCAAGAGGAAGAGGAATTAAACAACAATGGATTCGTTTAAGGCCATTTGTTGTTGTTTGTTATTCACTGATCTATTTTAAACGGTAATGATTTGTTCCAGAACCTTAAAAAAAACCTCACTTTGGCTCCTTAGGGAGAATCAGTCATCTGCTGGATTCAAACTATGCAAAGTGAAATAAGGCGCCTGTCTGGTCCAGAAAGCTTCACTGGTCAACTCCTGCTTCCTCCTTGAACCGCAAGGAAGCACTTAATCCGGCTGTGGGAAACAACCTCCCTGACATTCTCCAAGCTGGGATGTGGGGATTTAGGGTCCGTCAGAGGCCTGTAATGGTCCCGAGGGAAAAGAACCATTCTTTCAAACCTGCTTCAAGCTCTTCCAAGAAGCTTCAGCCTGCCTTCTGGCTCTGCGACCCTCACAAAACCTTCCAGGTATCACTGGCCTCTCTTGAACCTCCTGCAGCTTGACATCACTCCTTGAAATGCTCTTCACCTCCCCTTATATCCTAAGCGCAAGAATTCCCCAAAGGTTTATATCGGATCTCTTTTCTATTGTTTTTCCACATTCTCCCTTGATGAGCTCATCTACTCCCTGGCTTCAGCGACCACCTAGGGCAGACTGACCTCCACATCGCTCTGCAGCCTGGATCAGGGGCTAACCGCCCAGGGGCCACACAGTTACTGCACACAGTTCTTAAATCCAAACACACAGCAAGCACTGGCTACCGAGTGAAAAAGATGCCTCTCACACACGGCCACTTTGCAAATGGAAGTAAAGTAAAACTTTGTGACTTAATAAAATATAAAGCCATTTAAAAGTCTAACTTAATTCATAGTTTTTGTCAATATATGTACTCTCAATCAACAAATACTAAAAGTAAAATTATCAAGGAATATTTGCAATTCTTTTACTTAAAAAGTGATCTCCATACCTGAAAAGTTTGAGACGCATCAGCCCAAATCTTTTTTTCTGATAAATCAGCATTTCAACTACCACGTGGGGGTTTCAAAATCTCAAATTTGATAAGTCCAAAAGCAAGTATGGTATCTCATGTTCCTCCCTTCTTCCAGATTCCCAAACCTATTCTTCCCAACTCTCTCATTTCTCCCACTTTCCTGGATTCATAAACGTAGGGACTCCATCTTTGCGTTTTCCTCTTCCTTCCTCAAATCTCCATGTTCCTAAGCCAGGCCACATCACCACACGTCTTCTTTCTCCCCCTCAAACGCACCTAATTCTAGTTTTCCTTGCTTCCTGCCCCAAGTATGAAAACAACTTTCTCCCCTCCAACACGTCCCACACTGCAGCGCCAACCTCATTGTCCTAACAGTACAGGTATGGCTCTTTACCCACCTGGGCAAATTTCCCCACTTCATAGAAAAGGAAACCCAAACTCCTCATATAGGCACTCCAGACCCAAACCTGTCCTTCCAGCCTTTTCTCTAGTCCCTAACATGCGCCTGTGCTCCTGCCAAACAGACATGCTGGGCAATCCTCAAATGCGCCTCCCGCTTCCCCGCCCCTGGGCCAGACACGGTCCTCCCCGCTACCTCCACGGCCTTTCCCATAAGGCCTTTCGCATACTCCTTGGCTGGAGACGTCTTTCCCTTCTCTAAACCCCACAATACTTTCTCTCTCATTCTTTTCCCCGACTTATTCAAAGCCACCAGTTCCTGAGCCAGTCCCAGGGATACAGAGGAAAGATGCTCCTTCACGGAGAATCAGTTAAGAGGGAGGAGACAGACAAGTAAGCGGACACGTAAACACTGTGATAACGCTATGCAGCGTTACACATAAGGAGCCACTGCACAGAGAAGCAGCCTTACCTGGCTCTGCAGAACAGGTTACAAGCTGCCTGAGGGTAAGGACTAGGTCTCATTCATCTTTTAACTCCCTGTATTCCTAGCAAAGTGTTCAGGGTAGAATACCATCTCTATAAAGGCTGCTGTTGAATGAAACCCAGCGTTTGAGTCAGAATCTGATCGGCAGCCTCCTTTCATATTCCAAAAGGGACACCCTGTGTGTAAATTGGTGTCCCAGTGAATTACCACTCTAGTAACAGCATACCCTGCTACTTTACCTGCAATCCTTTTCATTCTCTCAGCCTCAACACTTCCTCTTTCTTATAAGGCTGTATTTACAGGCAGAATCCCGTAACATGGCTATTTTCCCAAGAGCTCAAAGGGTGCGCTCCCAAACAAGGAACCACGCATGCTTAGTGCTATAAGACATCACGTGTTAGTCCAGCCCCAAGACCAGCATTTTAAGAAGTCAGTTTCAGTCATGAGAGATGCTGGGTCTTTCCCCTCTCTGTTCCTATGAATTAAAATGTAGTATAAGTTATCCCCAAATAACAAATATGTATCTCATAAATGTTCACTGTATTCAAATGGATTCATAATCATTACTCTTGAATCCTCCTCTTCATGATGTAGGAAAAATGCATAAATATGTATACGGACATATATAGAGGACATATGTATACACACACTTTATGAAGTCTATGGCATTCCAAAGAGACGCTTCCAGGAGTGGGAGAAACCAAGGGCAAAATCCCAGTAAGATTTGACTTATTTGTGCAGAGAACTATAAAGTCCTTCTTCCCAACATAGCCTGAAATTTCTACTTTAGAATTATCTAAGCTAAGAGCAACCTCTGATAGACTTACAAAAAATGTGAAAAAACTTGGGAAGGGTTAAGAGCTCATGAGTCATTTACAGATTGAGGTGAATTAGTTCCACCGGACTGTTTTCCTCTTAACAGCTAGATGAGCTCTGGTGCACAAGAAGGGAATGAAAGATAGGGATGGGAAAGGCAAGGAAGGAAGTAGGAAACCTGAGGGCAGAGGCTGCATTTACAGCCTCTGAAGCACCGCCAAGTTAGGGAGAGTGTAAGCTTGAAGGGATATGGGCCAGGCTGGGGAGAAGGGTGCAATGGGCACACTACAGGCTGAAACTGGAAAGGTTTATGAAAAGCCAGAATTTGGCTTAAGGAAGGATGGGCCTTAAGCCTAGGACATGACTTCTTCTCACTTTTGTGCTAGTCCTAGAATTCAAGCTAAAACAATGTAGTTCAGTTACATCATGGGTTACTTCAGATTGCAGCGCTGGCCTAAGTACCATCGCCTGTGTACGTGTTTCAAGTACCAAACGATTCACCTCAGTGCATTTATTAGTAAACACTCAGTGATGTAGCTTAAGTCGAGATATTTTTGAATCTTACTCCTGCCATAGCTACAAATTAAACATTAGCTTCTAATGAATTAATGGTAATTCGGGAAACTTCAAATGTTCTCCCCTATTGATTCTTTTCCGAATTCTGAATGAAGCTGGAAAAAAAATTCTTACAGACCCCTTAAAGTTTTTAATGAAAATATCGAATGTGTCAACTTAAATTTATTTATCAAAATTAGAAAAAAGTAAATCAGATTTATTATGCTATTAAAGAATAACTATACATTAACTACAATACCAGTACTAGCATTTCATATAATACGGCTGGAAATTCTTCAATCAATTAACGGTCAAGTCATTCGACAAACATTAACTGCCCTCTGAGCATGTAGTATGCATGCAGTGTATATAAATTTTACCACTTTTTCAGAAATTTCTCTTTAAAAATTATTAAATTAACATACTGTGCAAATTAACGTGCAGCCCCCTAAATACAATGCATTGAGAAATGACAAACTACTTGAACGCTTAATGGCATGTTTTAGCCATGAGGATTCCGACAAGATGAGGATTACTACTTTTTCCCAACATCAACTTCTCTGATTTCCCACTTCTTCCAATATTAAGTTTAAAAGAGTATATCCTACTATTGTGCTAGTTATTGAACATGTCAGATGAGAAAGGAAATTTGCATTTAATACAGTAACTGTGCTATTCTTCATTCTACTAAAAACAATGAAAGAACAGGTAAGAGAAAACTAAATCCACAGCAAAGGGGCTAGGAAGCTGACATTGCACTGGAGTGGGTATTATTTATTCCCTAATATATTTAATAAATTCCACAACAAAATACACATATCCAAGTTGATTATACATTAACAGGATCTTGAACTGTTCCAAACATATTATAAAAAGGTCATTTCCATGAAAGTAACATAAAATATATCACAGTTCCGTGGTATCCAGAGTACAGCTTCACATCTAAGGTCAATTTAAAGGCAAAGCTTTCATTTCCATTAGAGCACATGAATAGCACCAACGAAAACAATCAGACTTAATACGATGGAATAGATCAGGCCTAAATCTTAGGAAAGAGTCCAGGTCAACACACAGAAAAGCCTGAGATACTTCTGTTTCCATCCAACCGTCTTTTACTTTAAATATTTAAAGTTCACATATTTAAAGTAAATTCTTCAAAGGCTTCCCCCACTTCAATAAATTCTTCAAAGGTCTCCTCCACTTTGTAATACATATCATTTCTTCTTTCAAAGCATCCAGAGTGCACTCTCAAAATCTTTAATAATAAACGAATATGTTCTTAAAGTGTGATTAAAAGAAAATATCCAATGCTTTAACCGAGTCTCTAAATAACAAGACAAATGAAAATCTATTAACTTTCCTATAGGGCAGTGGATGTTTTTTAGTAGCCCAAAAAGGGAAAATTTTAAATTAATTTAACTTAGATTATTCAATCGTATTAATAATTCTGAAATAAGACGTCTTTATTAAATATATCAAATTATTTATTAGATATACAAACTCACTAAATTTCCCTGTATCAGCTGCAGTATTCCTAAGGATTTTTCTCATTTTAATTACATCCATAATTAGCAGGAAGAACGAAATAAAAGTCTACGATGCCTCAAGGTTTTTATTATCATTATTATTATTCATACATTCACACATAACAGGAAATCACCAGAGCCAAGGAAAATGAAATTTTTCTAATACCAGGATGGCATATTAACTTTTGTGCAAGATGCTAAAAATAATAAAATTAAAACAAGGAATCTCCCAATGGTTCCTTGAAATTATTTTCTTTCAAGATCTAATTTTCCAAAATTTAATACCCAAACAGGAAGAAGGCTGCCCTTGCCAGACATCTATAAATTCTCAAGAGAACCCTTACATGCATGTTACTGCTTGTAAGAAAAACGATTTTTAAAATTTAATGAAACGGTAATATTAAATATCTCAAATAATATCAAAAAATGGAGGAAAAAAGGATACCCTCGAATCTAAGAGCCACTTTTACTGGCACTTAGATTAGAAACAGCTCTTTGAGGTCTTCAGGAAAATATCGGCCTCCACCCAAAATAGAGAAAGTAAATCCTACGCACCCTCTCTTCCAATATTTATTAAAACCCACATAAATTATGACATGCCATAATTTGGTATGTTTTACAAGGAGAAATTTTCAAAAAAGTGAAAATCTAAGAAGGTAATTCACTGCGTGCACACTTTTCTAACAAAACATCCTAGCATTTCCTACGTGACTAATCTATTTTAAATTCCGTTCCTCTGTTCCTATGCAATCTAATATTATCTATTAAAACTGCCAAAATATTTTTAAACAAGAGCTGAGAATTTCCCTCTTAGCTTCTGATCTTTGCACTCCTTAAGTTTGCAGACACGTCACTGGCAAACCACCTGGTTGTGACAGGTTACTCCAAATCAACGCTTTCGGATGAAATTTTAAATTGACAGCTACTCAAAAATTTTCCATGCCTCTCAGATCTCAGGGAGTGAGGGATAAGTACTAATATGCAAGTCAAGGATGCCTCTGATCACCTGCTGCAAAATTTGGTCTGCGGAACCTACAAATGCATATTCCAATTCAAATATCCTTTTCCCCAGGATCTGACAACATTCAGGCTTACTGAAGGCGTCGTTTCGCATCTTAAGCCTTGTGAACCTTGAGGCTGCAGACCATAAACACAGATAGCACTTGCAAAGTTTCTCCATGAACAAGGTCACACACTTCTGCATGCAAGGCGTGTATGTCCCACATGTGTCTGCAAATTCCACACTCGGCCTCAGGGACCACGAGTCTCTCGCTTCCCTGCACCTCGGTGCCAAGTTTCTCTAAGCCACTTCCAAGCAAAACTCTCCTTCCGCTTTTAAAAAGAAAACTACATTCGCCCGGAGAGGATACCCAGGACGAAAATGAAGACTGCAAGTGCAGCACTTTGATAAAGTAAACACACCGACAAAAAGACTCTGCCTCCGGGGCAGGCGGCTGCAAACCTCGGGGCCCCCGCGCGCCCCCCGCCCCGCGCCCCCGCGCGCTCGGCGCCGCGCCCCGACCCCAGCCCCGGCGGCAGCTCCAGCCCCGGGAGGAGAGCGGACTCGGCACCCGGCTTTCCCAGGGGAGACGCGCAAGCCAGGCCGCCGCCCCGCTCGCCCTCTCTAGCCGCCCTGCGCACCGAATTTCTCCGGGAATCGCCCACACGAGCCCGGAGCTGCCCTCTCCTTCCGGCGGCGGCCGCGCGGGGCCCGCTGCCCGGCCGCCCGCCCCCCGTGCCCGCGCTGCCCGGCGACGCCGCGCTCCAAGTTCGCCCGCGGCCGCACGCGCGCGCCCCGGCGGCCCGCGAGCGGTACGTACTCGGCCGGCGGCTGCAGCGGGCTGGGCGCGCGCTCCCCCGAGGACGGCTCAGCCCCGACTCCGAAGTGCCGGCCCCCGGCTCTCCCTGCTCCGGCGGCTGCGGCGGCCGGGACGCCCCCGCTCCCATCGAGGGGGGCAGGGAAGGTGGTGGGCGCGCTCTCCCGGCTCCCCCCCCAGCTCGGGCCCGCCGCTCCTTCCTGCCCGCCAGCCCCGACGGCGCTCGCTCGGCCGCGGTGGCGGCGGCGGCTCCTCCCGGCTCGGGCGCGCGGGCGGCGGCGGCGCCTCCCCCGCCGCGTCCTCCCTCCCCTGCCCCCTCCTCTCCCTGCGCTCCCCTCCCCTCCCCGCGCGCTGCACCCTCCCCCTCCCCCGCCCGCCTCCGCCGCCCCCACCCCCCGCGCGCTGTCACATTGGGAGATTCCGCTCTTGCTACATTCGCCGCTCCGGCTCCCGCCCCCGCGCGGCCGAGTGACGCAGATCCCGGCGTGGGCCGCCGCAGGGCGGGGGCGGGGGCGGCGGCCGCAGGGGCCCGGCGCGGCCTCTTCCCGCCGCCCCCGCCGCGGGAGCCGGAGGGCGGCCCATTCACACGGCAGCTGGGAGGAACCAAGTGGGCGCCCGGGAGGGGGCGGCTCCCCGAGTCCCGCTCCGGGCAGGGGGAGGGGGCGGGAAGGAGGGCCCCCGGGGGTGGCGGCAGAGAGGGGACGTCGCCTGGGGCCTGCTCGCCAGCTGCAGAGTGAACCGGGAAGGTTTGCAATTAAAAAAATTTTTTTTATTTTAATGTGTGAGCTTCCCAATATAGTATTTCAAAGAGCACACCCCGCCAATCCGACATCCCCTGGGAGGCTGCCTGTAAAGAGAGAGCGCGCTCAGCCCACGAATCTGGGCGCCGGGCTCGCCCCCACCCCCGCGGGCTGGAGGCTGGGGGCCAGGCCCCCCCACCCCGCGCCCGCGGGCCCCGGAGTCCTGCGGGAAGTGGGCTGCGACGGCTCGGGGCGGGGGCGGCAGGTGCGCGGCGCTGGAAGAAAAGCTGGTGGTTCCGAGAGAATCTCTGCCTCGCGCATCTTGCCCCCTCCCCACCGCCGCCCTGGCCTTGGGAGTGGGAGAGGAGGGGAGGAATGGGAATCGACGAACCGAAGTGCACCTTTGACAACTGTCTTGCTTGCCGGGTAACTTAATGCCAACCTTCTCAGCCCTGCTGAAAACCTGCCTGTTATTTGACTGGTTAGTATTGTCTGTTTCCACGGCGTAGCAATCCGACGGCCCTAGTACCATCCTGGGGTGTGTTATCGTGCAGTTCCCAAGGCACGCTGTAGAATGTTTTGAGTTTGGTTTGCATAAACTTTTCTAGCCAAAGAAAGTATTAAAATACTTCCAGAAATATACTTAACCTATTGCCAAAAATATTGGAAATTTTAGAATCTATTTTTCCTTTCTTTGCAAAAGTGGAGAAATGAAAGAAGTCCCCGAATTTTAGCATTGTGTTCTTGAAGGGTAGAGAGCGTTAAGTATAAAACTACCGAATACAGGTAGAATCCCGTTTTAACGTACGTATAAAAATCCGGTTATAGGAGCCATTCCCACATCCTGGCTGGCCTCCCGGAGTGTGCCTACTTTGCTGAGTGGGGATACAAGGCATTCTTTGAGATGGGAAATTCTTCATACCACATCTTTATGTAGCAGCAATGGATGGGATGATAACATTGGAAGAAAAAGACCTTATTAAAGTACTGAACCTTTTTTTCTTTTTGCAGAAACATGTTATAGGAATGAGTCATGCCACAATGGAATATATATAATTAAACCTCTTTCTCCAGTGTTAGTGAAAGGTTCTGTCTGGAGTAGTTGTGTTGATGTTTCAAATGAATAAGCATGCTTACTTCCTCGAATTCGTCATCGGCTGAAGAAATCACCGCTGGAACTTTGTCTCAGCCTAATTGTCACGGGTTTGCAGCTGTGGACCCTGTTCTGCCAGAGAAAGTGAACTTAGGTTATTAGAATAAAAGAAAGACGATTTCTTGGAAAGACATGGGTTAATAAATTTTCAGGCAATGATGTCTGCAGAATTCTTCCAATTTCCGTCTGAGATCCTGATGTTTTGCAAACATTGTTGGTTCTAACAGCTAGAGGAGAATAACTTCCAGAAAGATGCAGAGTGATTCCCGAGTCATGAAATGAGTAGTCTTCCCTGGACTGTCGAGCCTTCCAGTGGAATTGTTTCCAGAGTTGGAAAAACGACTTTAAATCCTCTCCCCGAGCTTGTGTATGTCCGGCCAGCACTGAAGGTGATGCTGAGAAGGAAATGTGTCAGGCAGGTACCTTTTCTTCTGACTTGTAACTGGCTATTTCTATAGTTAAACACTGAAATCGCTCCTTGTTTGTTTTCTGGGCACATTTAGGTAATATAGTCTTCCCACATTAAGAATGAGATTTGGGGCCCACTTGGCTTTGCTTAAAGACCCCATCGTGAGAGGAAGGAAAATGAAGGAAAGGTAAAACGTTAAGTTTTTAGGCATCCAATTCTGTATGTCTGTCTGACAACACTGTAGTTAATATGGCTGCTCAAAAAGAGAACTGAGGCATTCACCTGTGTCTGAGACAACTCAGAAGGAGAAACACTGATTCTTGTATAGCTCCTCAGCACTTTCATCCCTCACGCCACCTAAACGCTACACCTCAACATATACAGTCTGCTCCCGCTCCCAGGCCCTGGTGGTCCGAGAAGAGAAAGCATGCCATCCTGTAAGGTAACAATTCTGGTGTCTTAGTTGTTCCATATTCCATTTCCTCCTGTAAGTATGTCTTATACTTCTCTTGAATTCAGTAAATATATGTTTAATAGAATTTTCTAAAAAATTATTAAAAATACTTCAGTGATAAGTGCATTTTTAAACATAAGGAATCCTTTGGACAAAAAAAAAAAAAACCATTCCCACATTATGGAACTAAAAAGAAAGTTTTTAGTAAAAAAAGTATTGTAGAAAGTTGGTTGTATTTCTGACATTTGAGTGAAAATTTCACTGAAAGAGCATTAATTTATTTCAGAAAGATTTCTTACTTTAAAATGCTTCAGTGATGCAAAACAAAAGAATGCATAATAGATTTAAAATGTTCTTGAGGAGAGAAAGAATAACATTATGGTTTATGACCTACAAGATCTGAAATACAATATAATTCTATCCTCATGTTCTCCTGTTATTACCTCAGAACAATTCTATACTTAACAAATTTTCCACTCTGTGTGGTGGCGGACCTACAATTAACTGAGTCATGTGCAATATTTGTATTACCAGAAATATAATTAAAATTTCCCTTATTTTGCAATATGAAATGTAAAGCTTTGGATGTGTATTGTAGATTAAATGGATTTTTAAATATATGGAGATTTGAATATTTTAAAATATATAGAGATTATAAACAAGTTTCTTAAAGGCAAGCTAATGGGAATATATATAATAACTGATCGTTTCAAGAGTCATGACTTTAAAAATACCTCCTCTTCTAAAATATAAGGAAATTTTGATACACTGTATTTTATTAGAAGGTACCATAGAATTTTAAGATATAAAGGATTATAAAGTTCACCTAATTCACTCTCCTTTATGTAGTCAAAGGATATTCAAATACTTTGCAGAAATTCAACATACAACAGTTTATTTTCCAATAGTTTATTTATTTATAAGTTGGTTATTTTGAACTTGTAATGTAATCCCTGTTGGAAAAAGAAATGAGATAGATTCCTAAGATAGGCTACAAGTGCTTATAAAATGCATGTGAAAATACGTAATTATGGACTTTGGGGGCACTAGGTAGAATCTTAGAAATCATCTGATGCAATTGATTTATACAAATAAGGAAATTTATTCTAAACATTGCTAATATAAAGAGCAGAAAAATATTAATATAATATTAGGCAGTAAATACAAGCAAATATTTAATTAAATGAAGAGTAACTTGGATTTTAATATAAAAGTTTGTGTTTAAGACGAAAGAGAATGTAAACAGAAACTTTTGAAAAGACTTTCTAAAGAGAGTTTCCGGACATTTTTTAAGGATTAGATCCTTGTTTTTCTTCCTCCTCCATCCTCTCTCTCTGGCAGCAGTGGTCACAACTCAGCTACTCTTTCTCTTCTCTTCCCCCTTTTCCCTTTTCCCTTTTCCCTGGCGACTGCTGTGCAGAACTTGAATACTTAACTGTCCTGTAACTCTGTTTCCGGTCTCAGCAACACTGGCTGCTGACCGCTCGTTCCTGACCGTTACGGACCGAATGTTGGTGTGCCCCCAGAATTCATGTGTTGAAATCCTAACCCTCAGTGTGATGGTGTTAGGAGGTGGGGATTGGGGAGGTGATTAGATCATGAGGGTGAAGCCCTGGTGAATGGGATTAGCGCCCTTGTAGACGAGACCCTGAGAGCTCTCTTGCCCCTCCCACCATGTGAGGACCCTGCAAAAAGATGGCCGTCTGTGAACCAGGGAGCAGCCCCTCACCAGACACCAAATCATCTGCTGGTGCCTTGATCCTGGACTTCCCAGCCCCCAGACTGTGAGAAATAAATTTTCTTGTTTAAGCCACCCAGTCTATAGTATTTTTGTTATAGCAGCTAAGACACTAGCCATTAGTAATTCTCAGCTAACTACACAAGGCAGGGTGGAGAGTAGGTAAAAAATACTCCGCTCACAGTCTCTGGAATTTATCCAAACCACCTTCCATTTGCACACTTCTTTCTGGGCTTTCTTTTTCCTCACCATCACATGTTTGCCTTTTGCTCTTCTCCACCCAGTTTGCTGAGATTGATGGCAAGTCTGTGCTCACTTTCCCAGCTGGTCTCTTTTTCCAGGTCTGCACTCTGCAGGCAAGGGACCCACCAGCTAGAGTACCCCTTTTAAGCATCCGTATGAGGGTGGATGGGAAGATTTTGTTTGTTTCCTTGACAAAGGTGTGTGACTTGTCAGCCAAGATGTGGGGCGTTTTCTAGTTCATAAAAGGAGCAAGGAAGTATGAAGAGAGCATGTAAAGAAGAGGGCCTTTCTTGAAGTAAACGGGCAAGAATTGAAAGAAAGTGGAGAGAGAAGAAGGGACGAAAAGAACGTAAATGTGCACCTGTGAGAAGCTGACTAAAGTGGACACAACTATTATGGGAGAAATGAAAAGTCAAAGAAAAAGTTCCCAAGTACATGACTTTCCTGAAGAGAAGAAGAGAAAAGACAGAGGAGAGCTCATCCTAACATAGATTCCTCTAAGCCAGCCACAGAGGTGTGCTCTTGACGTGGGGCAGATGGCAGTGATGGGACGGAGTAGCTGGGACAGATCTGCAGGGAGAAGGGACAGAGAAGCAGTGGTCAAGCTGCTCTTCGCTCGCTGAGAGCCTGTGTCTATCTTTTAGTTGGACTGGGAGAGATCATATATGTGTCAGGTGCAGGTATCAGGAAAAGGAAAGGAAAGCAGAACGGGTTCAGAAACATCCTCCGCGCCATGTGCTTTGACCACGCTGCTTCAGACATAAAGAAATTGAGTATGTTAATAGTAATGATTGGGCTAATTGTCACAACAAATTACTCAACACTGCCTTCTAGGAGCAGACACTTTGAGAGGACAATGCTTGTATTGTACGGTAAGAGGTTTAAAACTATTGAAATAAAAGTAAATCAAACATGGTTCTGTTCACATATCATTGCCGTGTTCCGTCTTTGCACTTTGGCTGAGGTTGATGTGCTTACCCAGGTTGGTGCATCATGGCTCCTCAGCTGGCCCAGGATTGGCAATGATATACGGCAGTCAAAATTCTAACGACCTTGATTTCTTCATTTTCTATCTATTGCTCTAATTTTTTGTTTCCTACTATAAGAACAATCTCTAATAGTGACAGAGTGAGAGTTTTTTCTAATATAAAACATATTCCTTAAATAAAATTTCCCAAATTATCCTAGTGCTGGTAAGGTTAGGGGCTGTTATGCAAGTGCTGGTAGAAGAGAGAAGCAGCCTCTAGAAGGGCAATTTGGCAAATTCAACCAAAAGTTTTGAAGTATTCATATGATTTGATCCAACAGATTCACTTCTAGGATATAAACCTAAATTTATAAACATTGAAGAAGAAGGTATTTATCACAACTTCATTTATAAAATTTAGAAAGCAAAACATCCAAAATAATGAATTAAGTTATATCACATCTATCTGATGGAACATATTCAATTAATATGTAATAATTTTGGGAAATACTCATAATATTACTGGTCAAAATAGAACAGAGCAGAACAGTCTATAATCTCTCTACCTGAATAAATTTGGCAGAAAATTTACCAAATGTTCTTAGTAGTTATCTTTGGGTATTATAGACAATTTTTATTTTCTTTATGCTTTTTAAATTTTCAAAAATTTCAACAACAAACATGTATTACTTTGAAAATCAGGGGGAAAATTTAAATGTTATTTTTAGCAAAGATCTTGCTTCAAAAGCAGTTTACAATGGGGACCAGCCTGGGATTCTCAGGTTTGGATCCTGGGTGTGGACCTACAACACTGCTTATCAAGCCATGCTGTGGCAGTGACCCACATACAAAATAGAAGAAGATTGGCACAGATGTTAGCTCAGGGCCAGTCTTCCTCACACAAAAAAAAGTGGTTTACAATGAAATAAAAGTTAAATCAAAATTGTACTATATTTAACTACTTGTTTGAAGACGGCAACAAAAATCAGCAACTTATCTAACAAGTACGTATTGAGCCCTTGGTACGTAATCAGTCCTGTATAACTACTTGCCTTGAGAGTCTACCATGTGTCAGTTAGAGAGAGAGAGAGAGAGAGAGAGAGAGAGATAAAGCTTGGTTGAACTGCTTTAATCTGATGTTACAAATCCAGTCATTTCTCTTTTGTTTTTCTGATTAAGCATTCAGACATGTATCTGCTTGTATCTTTTGAGGATGTCCCTAGCCAGGGACTTGCACAGTCTGGGGACTTTTGTAATTCGCAGAGTGGTGTTCAGTCCTTGGGCATCCACATCCAGTGACGGAATTGGCTTCTGGGCAGCCTCTGATGTCACTGTTTCTCACTGCCCCTGTTTGGCTGCCCAAAACTGGGCCCACCAAATGCAGTGCTGGTCCAGTGCTGCCCGAGACCCTTCTGCAGGCAGCTGTGGTTCTTTGGGGTGAAACAGAGGAGCCCACTCCCTCCAAGACTGCAGCTCGCAGGGCTCCGCTCTTCCTTCTTCTCACACACAACCGTCTCCCAAGAGTGCTGGCTACACGCTTGCCTTGACCATCTCCAGTCTCAAAGCCGCCGCTACCCTCATCCCAGGGATCCAATCACTGGCAACGGCTCTCTTTCAGACTACTTTTTTTTTTTTGGAGGAAGATTACCCCTGAGCTAACTACTGCCAATCCTCTTTTTGCTGAGGAAGACTGACCCTGAGCTAACATCCATGCCCATCTTCCTCTACTTTATATGTGGGACGCCTACCACAGCATGGCTTTTGCCAAGCCGTGCCATGTCTACAGTGGGGATCTGAACTGGCAAACCCCGGGCCACAGAAGCAGAATGTGCTTACTTAACCACTGTGCCACCGGGCCGGCCCTTCAGAACTACTTTTTGATAGATTTTCATTTGGTTTTACAGTATCTTTTCTGGATTATATAAATTTTGAGTCATTTTTCTCATTCCTGTTCTTCCAGCCTCTCAGTTTGCCTAACACTTGAGGTTCATTTGCGTAAGGACTATTTACATTGCTGCGAAGGTTCCCGTGGCAGACTGCCCAGGTGCTTACCATCCAGATCCTCTGACTGCCAGGGCACTTACACAGGGCCCCTCTGTGTGTCTCGTTGTCGCCCTCCACCCCTAGTCACACACACTGTGGATGGGTAGGAGTTCTTAAGTGCACACTCCACCTTCCTTGTATGCCAAGGTCAAGAAATAGGCAGGTTACTTATAAAGTGGCATTTTGCAAGCAAGAATGGATGCTCAGAATCAGATGGGCAGTCTGAGGACAATTGGAGGCAGGAAAAGATGTTGTGAAGAAATCAAGGCTTCCGACACAGCACAGTGGTCTGACAACTAGGGGTCCTGTCCGAGAAAGAAGGGAGAGCTCATGCGAGGCAGGTCCCCCAGTGCTGCCTGGAGCAGTCCAATTGCTCCTTACTATGCAGGGCTCAGCAGGCATAAGCCCTCTAGCTCCCACAGCCCCTGTGCCTTTCGTCCTACTTCCTTCACTTGCTTTCACCTCCCTCTCAGGCACCCAGTATTTTCCCGATGTCTGAGTTTGTTTCCTAACGAGGAAGAACATGATCTGATCCAGATATACCCGGAGGTGTTAATGTTGCAGTGTGCTACTTTTCCAAAGATGTTTATACCTGGAGATTATGTTTGTTCAACAATTTAGCACCTC